TTGCTGCTGTTAAGTCCTGTCCAGTCAGTTCCGACTCATAGCAGCCCTGTGTAGGGTTTCCGAGGAGTGGCTGGTGACTTGAACCACTGAACATGTGGTTCAAACCAACCTTGCAGTCCAGCACATTAACCCTCAACGCCACACCAGGACTCCTGTTGTTGTTGTCGTTGTTGTTGTTGTTACGTGCCGTCGAGTCGGTTCCGACTCATGGCAACCCTGTATAGGGTTTCCAAGGAGTCACTGGTGAGCTTGAACCACTGACTTTGAGGTTCAAGCCGACCTTTCAGTCCAGCACATTAACCCACAGTGCCACACCAGGACTCCTAGAGCCTAACATAACCGGACATGAGGTCTGTGGCCACGTCCATTATGTAAATGAGAAGACCGAGGCTCAGAAAGGTTAGGTAACTATTCTGGTGCCACACAGCTAGTGAGTGAGGAAGCAAGCCTTCCTGGCACCTGGCTTCCTCCAGGTAGCATTATGGGTTTTCAGGGTTTTGCATTTTACGCAGAGTCAAGACCTATAGGACCCAATATGATCTGACCTCATCTCTTACTACTTCATTGTCCCCCACCTCTTCCCCTCCTTCACTCTTCTCTGTCCAGTTCTTTCAGCTCCAGAAATGCTGAGTATGTTCTTCCAGTTTGGTTTTCTAGCAACAGGTCTTTGCACATTTCATTTTAATATCTTAATTTGTCTTCTGTTCATCTCTTTTACCTCATTATTTCTCCTCATTTTGAGTTGTGTCCTATCAGCAAACTAAGGTCCTGAAAGCTTTACTCTGTTCATACTTCATTATGGTCAACTCTTCCTTGAGGAGGCAGCTCTTGCCCAGTCTTATTTAGAGTGCCTTCCAACCTGAGGGGTTTGTTTTCCAGCACTGTATCTGACAATGTTCTGGTGCAATTCATAATGTTTTCAGTTTCCAGTACTAGATCTCATAGTGTTCCACTGCTAATCACAAGTTTTCAGTGGCTAACCATTCAGAAGGAGTCCGTTTCTCCTTCTTGTAGTCTGTCTTAGTCTGGAAGCACCTCTGAAGTCTGCCCGCCATGGGTTTCCCTGCTGGTATTTCAAATACCATTGGCACTCAAGCCACCTCAGTACAACAAACTGATGGACGAGTCGTAAATGTAGTAACACTACCGTGGTGGTGTCTCTTGTATTCCTTCATTTGAACAATATGTATGGAGCGCCTACTAAGTGCTGGTGCTTTTCTGGGCAGTAGGGAAGTGAGAGTGGATAAAACAGTCAGTCCTGTTGTACTCCTCTTAATGTACACTGCTACCCTGCATCCTTCTAGCACTACAAGG